GAAAAGTTATGTCATAAGAATTATTTTTTTAGCCTTGTCAAGAAAGGAAACAATGTTTTTCTTAAGTTCAATCAATCTCTTGCATCAAATTTCTTGAAATATTTATAAATAATAAAATATAATTTGTATTTATAAATTATCATTGTTCTGTGTATTTTCTAATTTATATTTCTTTTGATATATCATCCCAAGTTATCAAATAGTCTCCATCATCACTTAATGATCCAAATATACGAGAGTTTCCAAATTGAATAGATTTCTCAAGTTTAAATTGTCCATTTTGTGTCATTCTTATAATATTGATATATTTATGATGCTTATTCAATAATAATTATTTTGATTTAATATATTATTATGGAAACAAGAAATAATTATCATTACCTTGATTAACAATAATATCTTTAGTTTTAGTGAATTATTTACTTAAACTATTCATCTCATAGACATGAATTGAATCACCCCCAGAAGGTTAAAATGTGAATAGAGTATTGTTGATAAAGCATAATCTAAATCCCCTACAATCAACATTAATTTTTTAAATTGGAATCCAATTTCTATTTTATTCTGAATACTCAATTACTAAGATTAATCTATCATCTCCACAAGAAATAACTTAATTTTATTAGTCATTTAAACTTAATGAATAAAATTAACTTTGATGATCTGTGATTGTTTATGAACAGATCCATTAATTTTGCTTAACCCAAAACTTAATAGTACTATCACCACTGCCTGATATAAACAGATCTTCATTATTATTCACAATTAAACAATACATACTAGAATTGTGTCCTTTAATTGTTTATGAGCAAACCCATGAATTGTTGTTATTAATTGACCAAATTGAAATATTGCCTTAATTATCTCCAGATATCAACTAATTAGATTGTTTCATAAAATTCAATGTAAACACACATCCTTGTAGTTGATCTAATACTTGAATTTATTTAAACACTTCTTATTTGAATTCATATATTATTATTTTTTAATTCAATCCAACTGCAATAATTTAACGAACTTTATTAAAAGCAAAAGAATAACAATCATTCTATTATTTAATGGAACTATGTTAAATATAATTAAATGGTTTTAGATTAAATGAAGATTGAGATTGAATATTATGATGTTATTTAAATTATAATTATGATTTGATTAAAGGTGTCAATTCTTAAAGGATGTTTGATTAAAACTTGGATTAATGAATAAAATGAAATTCATTTAGTTTTGGTGATGATGATTATGATTTAAGATTAGTAATTGTTTTAATTGGATTATCTATAATCAATAGTTAGTCAATCAAATTATTTATTTTATCAAATGATTACTAAAATAATTATCATAAATACATCTAACTCTTTCTCCATTTCTTTCATTTAACATTCTATTTTACTCTACAATACCTATTCAAATTACATTTCTATTCAAATTATTATTATTATTAATATATTTTATGATTATTTAAATTAATAGTGCAATATTATGAGTTGGTTTTTAAATCATCAACCTAAAATTTTCAAGTATCTAATTCATACTTTCTAAAATAAGCATCGTGATAAATGAATGCTGAGATTAGATTTCATCTAAGGTTTGAAGAATTTTTGCTTAAGATCAAATACTTATTGGTTCAATTAGTGATTAAATATGTCAAAGTTTCCTTAAGAGTTCCGACTGAACTTGTTCCAGATCAATACCATGTATTGACGGAGATTTCATATTTACTGAGCCTTCAAGTCATACCAAGTAACGAAGACCACTTAGTACTAAATAAAGAAAAAAATTAAAGATTTAGTAAAGGAAATTAAGGACCAAAAATTGATAAGATATTTTCATTGAAAGAGTTAAAAATTTCCTCATATTAAAGTCTCTTATTGCATTCTGATATATAAAGCCAGTGAATAGCCAACAAATAGATTGTACTCTTGGGTTGTAGATTATCCTATCATCTAGTAACCTTCTCAATGATTCCATGCAATTGAATTAAAATTAATTAATCATGAGATAACCAATTAGAAAGAAGCGATGGAAGAGAGAAGATGAAAAT